ATGAGCAGGCTAAGGATAAGCTCGAGAAGTCTACGGTAGCAGACAATGATTCTGGAAAGAGTATAGAAAGTGAAGTCCGCACAAGTTCTGGCATGTTTCTTAAAAAGGGTCAGGTTAGTGGAAAATACTATTCCAAGATTTTTCTTTTCTTGACTTTGAATCCTGTTTTAACAATTTTTCAGATTTACATGGTTATACTTTAATGTGGGTGGCATGTGTTTTATACTATATTTGGATATTGGGATGCTTCTGAGTACTTATTTTATGGAGATATAGTCATTTTACTGCCTGTTAATTATGTTTGTTTGACATAAAGCACACTGCGATCTGATTTAAATTTGTGATTGTTATACTGGGGAATGGGGATGCCAAGTATCTAAAATGCAATTCACTTACATTGTAATTGTGTTGACATCATTTATAGTTAACTAAACACAGATTTGTTACATAACAGTTCTAGTCGCATTTATGTTGAAACTACCACAAAAATAGGTTTGCAATAAAAATGCTTAAAGTATTTAATTATTAATGGGCGTGTAATGCAAATTATGCAATGCACCCCCTTTCCAATGAATCAATGGGAAGCAAACTTTGACGTTGTGGAACCTTCATTGAAAGGTAGTATCTTCATTCCTTTGCACCATATGATAGTCTTGTATAGAATTGACTGTTAGCTTTGGGGATGGATATGCATTGTGAGCAAAGTAGAACTACCCTATTAGTAATACCTAAATCCAGAAGTCTGAGATCTCCACAAACCAACTATAATTATTTCATGGGTATGTAGTAGGAAATGGCTTTTTATCAATGAATGAATTAAGAATCTTATGATTCTTATTTGACTTTATCATTTTAAGTGGCATGTGATAAGTCACAAGTACAAAATAAAAATATAAATGTCCTGCATCTTTGAGATGCTCTTTCAAATGGTGACATTAACTCGTTTAATAGCTAATCTAGGAAAGAGTAATTGTTTAGCCATCCGGGTCTTGATTAAATCTTGTAATGCCTTTTGTTTGCATTCTTGAGGTGTGTGACTAGTACAAAAGACGCGACTTTATCTAATTGCTTAGGTTGGAAGGTGTTGATTGTGGTCATATATGTAATTTTGATATTCTTTTTTCCATGATATTTGCTGATGAACAAGATATAGGATCTTTTGTCCTTGACGTCTTTAACAGAGAAATTTCTAGGTGCTTTAAATTGAATACTTTAGGATGGGTATCTTTGCAGATGGGTAATTAGCACATAACGTCCTCACCTTTCATTGTTATTGTGGAAAATGTCAATACCTTCTATTTTTTGGCATTTTCACACTTATTTCCACATTTCATTGATCAAAAGGTCATTTTCATCAATTTTTTCAATTAAAAATTGTGAAATGACGAATATAACATTCCCTTTAAATAAAAGAAAAAAATAATTGTAAT